GCAGTGGTGATACAAATGAACGAGGCCTTACTGCAGATATAATCGCATGGACTATTGAAGAATATCAATGATTCATTAAGTTTGGTTTACATTTTTTGTCCTTTAGAATTATTTCTGATAAAAAAATGATAGAGAGTTTGGTATTGTCTCATGAACGTTGTTAAACATTTTATCACTAGCGGGATACAATTTAATATTTAATATCATAAACCTGCGTCCGGATGTGTCGTCGTAAAATTTCACCAGCAGCTTTAAAAATCCGGTATTCTTCTTTTTCACTATCTTTTGACCTCTGACTGTACCAGTTATCGGACAATATTTCGTATTGTTGTTTTTCAAAACATATTATTGTATTGGATCCAAATTTATTGGAGAATACAATATTATTCTAATAATGATTCATTAACCTCATTTTTATTGTTTTATCGTCAGGAATATGGTCAATTGTTACAATACTTTTTAATTCTGCCAGTGAAAACTGACTGTCATCATTTTCCTCAATATATTTGAAAATCTGCTCCATTGCTGCATCGACGAATATAACAATCCGCGTGATACTTAGCTTCCTCAGCTACTAAATCTAACACGCCTACAATTATTTTATGGATTTTGCGAAAATATTCACTTCTCTCTTCACTTATATTTAATATCGTTTTCTTGAAATCAGAAGTAGCTACGTAGCTAATTTGTTGTGTTGACGATTTGGATTTTCTTTTTTCCTTCATTTCATCCACTTCTCTTTCGAATTTTTTTTTTGTAGGAGAAGCGCATGCTGGTGTGGTGTTTTTTTTTTAATAAGAATTAATGCACCCTTTATTGATATATTTTTGTCTGCATACTGAATGCACGTAGACAAATTCGCGACTATTTAAATACTGAGAAAGTCCATCCGCTCTCTCCGTAGAAGCAGCTTTCAGTGTTGATATTCCTCTAGTGACTTTTATAATATCTCCTAGTTCGGAAATTAATTCAGAACTACATACGATTTTGTTACAAATGAGGCAATCATTACTTATATTACCACTATTCGATGGTTCACCCATTTTTAAACGAATAATAAATACTTACTCTTTATGCCACTATTTTCAAACTTTGTAAAACTCAGTAATGTGCAGTTATTAATTTTCATCACGCTCACTGCACAATAATATATATATTAATTGTAAATAAACAATAATTAGAATTTTTTCGGTGCGAACAACAGCAGCTATGTACGTATTAAGCCTAGCACGTTGCCAAGTGTACTATTCCGTTAGGGCCCGCATTAACACCACTCAACAGCTGCTGGGACCGCAGGCATAAAAATGAAGGTCGGGGAGGGGAATGTCCCTTCTATTCCGCTGCCCGACCTTCATGTCTATACCTGCGGTCCCTTAAGAACTAAGATCAAGTTTGTAATAGCTCTTCTTTTTAAAATATAATTTTAAACTACTATAAATCAAAGAGAACTCCAAGAAATTAATTATTTTTTATAATAATAATTAAAAAATTGAGATCGGCCAGCTTTTTTTTTTTAACATTTTTCTATATACTATTAAAAACACATTTCCAAAGTTTTGTAAAGATTCATTGACAGTCCGAGGTATAAACCTTACGGCGCTCCACTAATTATACAGCCCACAATATTTTGGTATAATTTTCAGCTTAGTGTTGAGTATTGCTTATCGGTGGATTTATTTTAGTCAATTAACTAAAAATAATGTTTTATATTATATAAGCACTTTTAACTTTTTTAAAAATCTGTCAAATGCCATTTTTAAAACGAACTCCACCTAACTTCATTCCCTTCTTACTGGCCTTAAATTTTTCGCATGCACTATTATAGTAAAAACTTTTCATTCTTGTCACATAAATTATTTCTATTGGTTTACTTTTACTGCGAACCAGTTCTTAGAATTAGAAATTAGATGCAAGCAACTAATAAGCATTAGCATATTTATTGAATATTTGAATTTTATCTAAATTTATCTCTGCCGTTGAATCTGTCCAAAGATGAATTAACGCTCCATATGCATGAATACAACTAAAGTATATATATAGAATATGTTATCATACTAGTCGTGCATGTGTTTGAATGCAAATTTTAAGCTTAAAATGTGAAACTAGCTTTTGAGTAGCATTACGAAACCGTCTAAACTTGTATTGGCAGAAATTTCCGTTATTGTTCTGTGTCAGGAATATTTTTATAGTTCGTGGGAGCGTATTTCAAAAACAGTCATAAAACATAAATTGATTGTCAGTTTGACAGAATAACTTCGTTAGTCGATCTAGAACTTGCTGAGTGGATATTTGCTTAAATATCGAATGTATGAATTAAACTCCTTTCAAATATGTTACTATTGCTAATACAAGATTTAGGTCACCACTCGGAAGAGTTTTAATGAAAAAATTTATTTTACAAGTCTACCATATAGAATTCTCAAATCGCTCATGTCTATTTATTTAGGCAGCAATTAATACAAGAAAATTGAATTATTATATGTTTTCTTGCTGCTTAAAGCAATATTATTGTTAAATTTGGCAGAAAGTTAAATCAAACAAGAAATAACGTTAATTTCTATTGCATTGAATTTAAGGTACCCTTGATAAATATGAAATATTCTCTACAACTTTAAATGAAAACGCTTTCCATGCAAGCACTTTATTCCGATCGTTCAGTTCGTATGGAAGCTATATGCAATAGTGTTCCGATATCTACTGATCCGACAGACGAGCAGCTTCTTGGTGAGAAAAAGACGACAGCAAAATTTCGGAAGGACGTCTCGAAAATTGAGAAACGTTCGTATATATACAGGCCTATGGCCAGTTAGACGGTCATGACTAAATTAAAGTCACTCTAAAATTTCATTTTGGTTGTTACAAACATCGTGGTTAACTTAATATGTTGAGGGTACAAATATTTCAAAATAATTGTCTAACAATTGTTAGATAATAATACATTAGTCTAATTATTAAATTAACCGATTTCAATTCGTTACTTCTTTGGTCGCCTTATTCGAGCTCGGTCTCTTGCCAAATTTTCACATGTAAAAAAAAAAAAAATATTAAGAAAATGAATTTCGAACATTGTGATACTTATACATATAAGGTGGCGTCATTTGATGTATACATTATACAGTTTGTGTATACAGTACAAGTTGTTTATTCGATACGCCACTCTCTATGGTTTGCGAATTGAAGAATTCTGAACATGTATATAAAATAAGCTGTTTATTCTATTTTGTAGTATGCCATAATCCAACTCTTTCGCTGTGAAATCTGCCCGAAATTTCAGTTATTCTTTATATGGATCCATTGAAACTTGTAGAAATATTTGATGTTATATGTTCTTTATAGCCTTGACAGAGGGCAGCGTTAATTCGGATTAACTGCGCACTTAATCGGATCCAAATTTGTAAGTGACAGATGGCAGCTTTGCTGGTTTTAAATTCTCGTAAACATCTGATTTTTATAATATTTTCAATGAAAATGGACAAGAGATAAACATTGCGGTTTTTAGTCGACAATTTGACATATCAATACGTTATTTTTAAAACTGCATCATAACGTAACATCATAATATAAAACTTCTTATTTTATTATTGAAAATTTGAAAAACAGCTGTCATAGCTGCTGCTTGTTTTTCATTCACAAGGGAGTAAAATTGGCCATTTTTAACAATGTTGCCAGCGAAAGTGCAGCTAGCTCTCCAAATTGTTGAGGATTAAATCGAAATTAACAACGAAGCCTATTACTTAGCAGAGAAGCAGCATTATTTTAACGTTAACGGTCAAATCAATATTCAGCGACCTTGTTCGCTAGATTTAGCATTCTGTGCCTCTTACTTTCACAGAAACTCAAACATCTGCTGCTAGAATTGGAGTTTCCATTATTACCTTTAAAAGGATAAGGTTTGGGTATACTCATTTGTGAATTTAATGACGGTGATATTTTACTTAGAGCTTGGTTATTCACTTCAGAGTTCAAAGTTCTGGCATTAAACGCAGCAGACCTGTAACCAAACACCTACTTTCAAAAACACATATTGAAAAAAGTTCATTCCTACCGATGCGTCAACTGTTGTATGGTTCAACTCCTTGAGACTTATTTGACCACCCAAGAAGTGTGTATGTGTCTCTGCAAATGGTTTTGGGATTTTGAGATGGCTCACAACAAGCCTGAAGCTGAAATGCTTTACGGCAAAAAAAAGTCATGATTGAATACTGTAAGGACACCATGATCAGAAACATAAGAGCAGTCTCTGTACTCAACGGAAACAAGAAATTCCTTTTATTACTTTATATTGGGCATCGCAGTCATCATCCAGTAGAAAATGTCAGAACTTTATTGAAAGCCAAAGTATCACTAAAATATTTAACGTTAAAAATAGATTTAATTTATCTACTCCAACATAGTTGGAGGTTGCTTCCTGTGAAATGTGCGAAAATTTAGTTGCAAGCTGTCATGAAATATGTCAGGCTGAAATAAACAACGCGGGATATTGAAACATGTATTGAATAAACGTTAGATTTAATAAAATAATGAATTTTATTTAAAAAATATTTCTTGCGCTAGTTTTTTTGAAATTCGCAACATTTTTAATGACTGGACTGATATTTATTATGCGAATATAATAATTGCTCTCATTCCTCTCCACGTAAAATAAAAATAAGCGAAATAAGAAAGAAGATGACTCTTTGAAGCGATCAAGAGATGCTACTAGTAGGTCAACTAAAATGCAAATATCCGGTTTGGAAATTCGCAAATAGAATTTCACTTAGCATTTAACTAGACTTAAACACAGATTGTGCACGCAACTGGAAAAGCATTAAAATGGTGTTATGTGAATTTTCTATGTATTTTATTGGGCAATATTTTGTACATCTTTCTTTGTCAACACATATTTATATGTTGCAGTTAGTTCCTCAACTAGTTTTACTTTATGGCAAAGCAAGAAATTTTGCATAGATTTAATTTAGTATAAATATAGAAAACAAAATATTTTGCATCATCAGTTCTTCGGCGTCTGTCACACAAATCACTGAGCAACCGAAAATATGAAGTTCCTTGTGAGTTGATTTTATTACTAACTTCTATTACTAACTTTTACTATCATATATTCATTGTTTCTTCTTCTTCCTAATGTACAGATTGTATGCGCCTGCATGTTGGTCATTGCCTTCGCCAACGAGGAAGCCAATGTACTTAGGAGCGAGCAAGAAGTTGAGCCCGATCGTTTCAACTATGTACTTGAACTCGACAATGGTGTGCTCCTAGAGCAGCAAGGTCGCTTGGAAGGTGATGATGTCTGGAAGGTGGATGGATCTTTCAAATTCATCTCGCCAGAAGGTGAAGAGGTCGGTTGGTCTTACAATGCCGATGATAATGGTTTCCATCCCGATCCAAACAGCAAGTGGATCCATCCTATCCCTGAGCACATCCTCAAGTCCATTGAATACATTAAGAACCATCCAAGCCAAGAATAATGTGCTCACACTGTAAGAACTAATTACTCTTTCATTTAAGTTTTAATTTGCTTGCTAATGAAAATATATGGACGAATGTGATATTAACTCAAGTGTTATTTTTTAAATGTTTTTGTTGTGTTATTGCGATGATTCGTGGCAAGAGTATATGGGTTTTAAGAAAAAATCCACGAAATTGTTATGAAATCTGGTTTTGAAACTAGACTTCATTCATTGGTAGAATGTTGTATGGGTTCTATTTTTCGATAATTTTGTTTTTTATTTGATATTTTTATGCATTCTTTTTCAGTTATAAAACACTTTTGACCGCTCTTCTCTGTCCGCAGCCGATGTTGAACACATAACAATCGTTTGTATAAATCGTTACGTAATCTTACCTTTGTCTCATTATTGAGCTCGTTTCTTAAGTCTTTTATATTCTTCTTCGAACATATATTATTATATTTCAAAATTATTAGCGCTTTTTTATTTTCTGAGCGTATTCATTATAGCAATGTATATTTTTTTACCATCAGAACGCAAAAATTTCAGCAAACATAAACGTTAGTGAATTACAAAAAAAAAACCCTGATTTAAAATTAGCGTTTTTTTCGATTTTATATCGAAAGAAGTTTTCCTCATTAATAGTTTAAATGGTAAAGACTATATGTTTCGGAGAAAAGAAGTTAAGTTTACTCCAAATTTCGTGGAAGAAGTTTCGTTTTTGACAAGATAAAATTAAGAAATGCTAAATTTTTGGCTAGATTAGGCCAGAAAGGTGATAATACAAAAGTTGTAAACAGTTTTATTACCCACAATTTTGCCTCACAACTTTACTCTGTACTCTTTTTTTTCATTAAAAATTTTCGACTATTTTTAAAGGGATTAAGCTGAAATAAAATACCTATTTTCAAATGAAATCTGAGCACGTAAACTTTTATAAACGCAATACGAATAAGTTTAGAAAGAACGCTAGCATTTATTCGAGAATCTGTTTTTTTTTTAAATGTATATCGCTTACTGCGTCAAAATTAAAAAAAAATTAAACATTAATTCTATCAACACTTAATAAAAATATCAACGTTTAAATGGTAATACTACCAAATGGGCCTAGCGAAAAGTACAAGAGAAAAATTCTTATAACTCTAAAAGTTGCAGAACTTGTTAATTTTCATTTATATAAATATTTGAAATAATTAAAAATATATACAAATAATTTGTCTGCTATTTCAGTTGAAAAACTTTTGTCTGGTCTCGAAATAAACAAATTGTTCATGAAGGGTTAGAAAAGCGGTTACTTTCCTCCGCCTATCTACATATGTATATACGGACAGGCTTTGAGAAAAAATCAATCGCTAATTAAAATTAAATAATAATCGAACTGACATTTATTTATTTAGTTAATTAAGTTTATGAACATTGTCTTTTACAGACTATTAGAAAATTATAACTTAAATATAAAATAATGAAATTACAATAGATAACATAGCTAAAAACCAGAGTTAAGTGCGTCAATGAGGAAGCCCTAGAGTGAGTAAAACCCAGTGGAACTTTCTTAGAAATCGAGTTAAACTCACGGACAGCATACTTGAGGGGGGGCATAATTTGCAAATTCAGTTTCTCATTTGTAAAATAAAATGTTGAAAACAATCTGAGTCAACGCAGAGGAATATTGGAATTAATTTTTCTTAACATACTTCCATTAATAACATCGAAAAAATTGAAATACAGAAAACGGGCCATCGTATGGGGTTAACAACTTTTAAGGAGCGGAGGGAAAACTTAAGAAAATTCTTTTAAACGGTTAAATGGAATGGTTCAAACCCTTCAAAGGAGAATAGACAATATGGTCACCGGACGAATACAGCGCACTCCAAGAAAGAAAGAAAAAAATATGTAAATAGTAATTTTAACGTATGGGAGGCGGAAATTTTGGAAACATTTCAAGTGACAAATCCAGGCACGAAAAGAGAGTGATTATTGAAAGAAAATCTATTGTCAAAGATTACGCCAACATTTTTGATTTCGGTTATACCTTTTAGGATATAATGATTTGGAAGGTGCACGAGATTTGAGAGCATTGTGAGGAAGCTGTAATTTCAGGCAGCAATCATAAAAACTCTCAATAGGGATGTTCAGACCGAACTTGTTAATCTGGTGGTTCGTTAGATGATACTTCGTTAAAACACTAAACCGTGAGCATACTTTTTGCTGTATATCACTAGTGGATGTAAATTTTATTTCAAAAGAGCTAATTCAATTATATTAAATAGTCACTTTTGAAAAATTTGTCAGAAACTAAATTGTAGTACAGCAAATGTATTTTTTCACAATGAATTAAGTTAACTTTTGAGGCAACAACGCAAACAATACAGCTGGGTGATGTTACCAAGTAACGAAAAAACGATCATGTTTGCCAGTCTGGTACTTCGCGACTCGGTAAAAAGATAATCTGTTAATTTTACAAAAACAAAACCCACATAAAAAATTACCGAATAACCACTAACAAATTAACAAAGCTGGTCTGAATACCTCTTCACATCTTCGGAGTTTCTGATTATTTTGAAGAGAGTAGAGCGACCTAAGACAAAGGACTGGTGATTGACGTTAATGATTGATTTAACTGCAAAAAATAATTAATTTTTAACAGAGCACTCACATATTTCGGAATTTGTAGAGTGTTTAAAAATAGACCTGTGATTGGAGACTACCACCTTTCTGGTACCTTTAAGGATTGGAGTAATGAAAATCAATTCCCAGGATGAAAAGACGTTACTAGATGCCAGAAACTATTTTTTTTAAATTGTTTACTGAAACAACTGAACTTTAACAATGCCTAAAAGTATGTTAAATATTTAGCATTATATTTTTCATATAATTTATTTGATAGTTTAACTCGAAAGCAGTGGACTATACCGAACTGTTATCGATTTTCCATGCCTGAGAGGGATTTGTACATATAAATGTATACAAATATTTACAATACTACCATGAAAATGAACCAATCACGCTACCTGTATGTCATATAGAAGTTTAGAAATATTTAATTTAATTTTTTTTTTATTCAAAAACGCGTCTTTTATTTGTTCCTTTTTGTTAATTCAAAGTTATTTTCACACTTTTTGTTATTCCTTACTGCACGGTGGCAACATGTGGATGGTAGCCGGTTTCATCGGCCTTGTAAGTTACTTTGACAGTTTTGCCTTCGGGCGTCAGATGTTCATATTCACCAGTGACAATCCATGCTTCCTTGCCCTCCAGTGAACCCTTTTGTTCGGCTCTAATGTGATTGTCGAGCTCAAGAGTGTAGAAGAAGCTGTCGGGATTGACTTCCTGTTCGTTCTTCAAAACATTAGCTTCTTCGTTGGCCAACACAATGGCGAACAGGCAAGCAAAAACGATCTGGAAAGTTAAATTTATATGAAAATAGTGATTCTTTATTTAAAAGTATGTCTACAAAGTAAATCCTTACAACAAATTTCATTTTGTCTTTTTTATTAAATTTGAGTTTATCTGACTGCACACAACACTCGACTACATCCGCCATAGATTCTAACTGCAATATTTATGCGATTCCCAAATATGAGTGTGAGGCGCCAATTTCGCCGAACAAGTGTCAGAAAAAAAATATAAAAAAAACCGTTTGCTGCAATATTTCCAGTTTTGAACTTAATTATTAGAATTTATTGCGGCAAATGTCGCTTTTGTTTTGCTAGAACATTGCATCGCCCTGCCATTATTCACGCTTACCACATATTTGCGCCGGCAACTGGTTCTGCGAAATTACCGTTGTCAAACTACTTGACACAGCCGATACCTTAAAGTCGCTTTTGTAGTTGTAGTAATGCCGAATGTTTAGCTGCCCAGATCTGCCAAGTTAATAATTTTCAAAAACTGGGTTCGAAATAAAAGGAGCAAACATACCAAGCGGTAAATATTAAACGCCTAATTATATTTTCTAACTGAAGATCTTGATAATAACACCAGCAAATGATTTGTGTGCGAATGCAGTGGAGAGTTAATCAATTAGTATGCCGAGCTAACAAAAGAAGAACAAGAGATTTATAACCAATTTAGTAATGATCAAAACTTTTAATTCAATTAAATATAATGCCGGCGGCATTAAATCAAACAAGCTCAACAAACTGCACTCAGAGAGCTCAGAGTCGAAAAGAAATGGTTCACATTTTAAGAAATGGAATCTGTATTTATACCCTGAGCAAAGTAAAGTTAAATTTGTCATAAGTTTGTAACAGCCAGAGGGAAACGTCGGACATTCATTAAAGTATATACAAAGGGGTTTTCTGATATGTGTTCTGATATATCAAGAAGAAATAAAATGCTTAGAGTATAATGTAATGGCCATGAATTTAGCTTATTATAAATACGTGGGTTTGCCAATGGATTTCAAAAATTATTTCGGTCAGGTTATCCCCGTGGCTGGTTCGAATAAGTTCCAAACGAGAGGTCTCATTTCAGATCCCTGAATATATCTGAAATAATGATCCAAATATTCCCGTCTAAGGCGTCAATCGTCTCAGGCTTGCCAGCGTAGAAAAGCGACTTCGCATATACTCGCACGATAATGCACTCGATAGAATTGTTTTCCATAAATTGTTTCAGGAACGTCACAAAAAATTCATTAATCATGGCTCTAAAATACAGCCCGCTTTATTTTTGAAGAAATATGCTCACAGAGCATATCAAACAGTGACTTTTTGAAGAAATAACGACATCTCAACAATAGCTTGTGGGTTCTGGAAAAAAATGGAAGTGGTTGGGGTCCAAACCTGGTCAATACGGTGGATGCTCTAACAATTCGAACTTTCATTCATGGATTTTAGCCATTGTCAAAAGGCTCTTGTGACACGGTGCGTTATCTTGATGAGAAAGGATTTTTTTCTTCTGCAAACCGGGTCTTTATCACGAATTGTTTCTTTCAACTAGTCCAAAAGGTTGCACCATAAGCTTTCTAAAACCCAAAATTTACTTAAACTATGGCTCACACTGCCTAATGAAATGCCTCTACAAAATCTCGCCACCTCTTATCGAATGACAAAATTTATTGAACAACCTGGCACACATCCAGAAATCAGTAAAACTGCTCTGCACCCATCTCCAAACAAACGATATAACTTATGGTGGTTCGGATTCAATTTTGCAAACCCGTAAACAAAAGTTCTTCTTCACCATCGTTCATAAAATGAATGGCAGATGCACTCATTACAGTGATCCACAGCCACAATAGCGTATTCTCTGTGCGCACTTTACGGGATCTCTGAGATTTGCTAAGGTAAATATGGTGCAAATCGATACATTATTGCTTCACTTATCGACTCTGCTATGTGATTTTATCGACCGAGTATTGGATGAAATGCTAGATGTAACTCGCAAACCGAACTATTATTTTGGTAATAATTGTTTATTATCAAATTACAAACTAAAGTTAGTATAATTCTAGTAGCAGCTGCCAAATAGACCAACCCAAAAAACAAAAAAAAAAAAAAAAAAAAAAAAAAAAAAACAAAAAAAAAAAAAAAAATAAAAAAAAAAAAAAAAAAAAAAAATGCCTCATTGGAAATCACACTTTTAAAAATAGCCGTTGTATACAGCAGCTGGATAAAATCTGACGGTTTAACCATGTTTGTCTGTGTATACGTGCACTAGTCCCCCCAGTGTCTGAGATATTGATCCGAAATTTACATGCGTCCATTTCTCCCCAAGAAACTGCACGTTTGTTGAAACAACCGATAACGGCCATACAAACTGATCGATAAAAATCCAGTCTTTTTATGGAACACTGTTTCATTATATTTGTTATCAAACCATTATAGCACACAGTAAATACTATTAACATTAATAATATATGTATATTTTTTCTTACAAGTAATTTTAATTCGACTTGAAGGTAGTTTATAATACAAACAACATTTGTCATTGGATGAAAACCTTTGGCTGTTATACATAATATTCAGATTTAGTTAACAAGTGTATTCCAGCTTCGGTGCGGCCGAAGTTAGCGTCTCTTCTTGTTTTCAATTAAAACAATTTTATCGGTGAGATTGTTTAATTTTAATGCGAACATTTATTGTACAATACTTAATTACTGTTAAAGCTTTCATTTAATTAGTTTTTTAGAATGAAGAGAAGTTTAATTTCATTCCAAATCAGCTAGTTAAATTAATTTGTACTATTATACATACATGTATGTATAAATACATGAATAAAAGTCTCCAGAAAATAAATTTAAATTAATTAGTAAATTTAAAACTTGTATTAAGCTTTCTGGAACACAGTTAAAAAGAATACGAGGACATATAACAGAACTTCTAACATCTTTTTTACTTGCTCTTCTTGTTCTCGTTGTCAAAATAAAAAGAATTTCATAAAACTTTTTTTGTTTGATCACGAATAATTCGGGTGCATTTTAAATCTTTATATATCCATCAGTTGTTTTCATTATATCATCAAATAATCACGCAACAGGTAACATATAATATCACAATAAGATATAAGTTTATATAGTTATATAGTTTATTAATATCAAAAATTCGAAAATTCTGGGTTTAATTTGAGAGATTTAAGATTAAGAGATCGCCTCATTAGCACCTAGCAGAATATTGGAATTCATCAATCTGCTGGGGCTAAGTGAGACGCTGTGAGTTAGTAGAGGGCACAATAGACCCTAGGTCGCGGTGCAATCCTCATTCTTTATCTTATCTTATCTTAGAGACTAGCACACATATTTTTCCCAAGATAAATATTTTAAAGTATGTAGGCAAATTTTGACTGATTGCATGAGCTTTTGAAATCACCTCCACTCCGTTGGAAAGACCAGGTGGGGAAGGAAATGGCTTCGCTTGGAATTTCCACTTGGCGCCACGTTGCGAAAAGAAGAAACGACTGGCGCGCTCTTTTTAACTCGGCTATAATCGCATAAGCGGTGTCGGATTTTATTCATTTCCGACATAAGGGCATGTTGGAGAGGTACGCCAAATTTTGTTTTATATTAAATCATGTCTTGAACGGTACATATTGTACAAAGTCAACTGGACGTTTGAAAATTTTTATATTTCGTATACAGGTTAGTTGTAAATATTGACAAGATTTAATCTGTTTGTTTCAAGTGCACCATTATTAGCAGAAAAATATTGTACCTGACTTTCAACAATTCCATTTGTGGACTTGATAAGCTATGCTTCGATTTCGTCTATTGATGGCATATCTCAAAAATATTATTTGCTCAAAGTTTTATTCCCACTGGTGCTTGATTTATATTCTGTGAAAGTGAAAGATTGTTTTTATATACGAGAAGTAGGCGTGGTCGTCGTCTACCTTAGCTCATTTTCACAGCATAGAAATTGGGTCTGTAGAGAGATGTGAGATTTATGACTTCATCTAAAAATAGGATATCCAACTTTGAGCCTATAAAGCCCTTAACTTTCATCTTGGTTGCAAAATCGTAAGATAAATTTACTGTTGTACTATATATTTACTGGTTGTACTATATATCTACTGGGAATGGATGTGCGATATCGGTGGGGGTTTCGAGTATTGTTGTATTCAAAGAGGTACTATTTATATTAGCACGATAATTGGTTTAACAAGTTACACGAAAACGGCGAGCACGGAAGAAAACGTGGCAAACAACCATGTTTAATATTTTATATAGAACTTTGGCGAATAGAAAGCTATCGACAAGATGGGGGCGCATTTGCTCACTGCTGATAACAAGCACAGCCGTGCATTCACTTCTCAGCAGTATTTGAGGCTGCCGAAGAAGGACGCATTCCGAAATAGTCTCTGCGACACTTCCACTAGCATACATTATGTACTGAGACCATACTCTTAAAAAGCTGAATACTATCTTATCGACTTCTTGGACATTTGGATCTCCAGTGAGCCCACAAGTGTTCCTTCAGGCGTTCCTCAAGGTAGCCATCTTGGATCAATTCTGTTCTTGTTATTTATTAATGACATATCATCTGTTGTTAAGTTTTCAAAACTTTTATTGTATGCTGACGATGTAAACCTTTTTAAATCATTCACCTCGAATAGCGAAAAATGTCAGTTGCAAACAGACTTAAACAACCTAGTTTCTTGGTGTGTTAGAAATGACATGCCATTGAACCTTAAAAAATGTAAAACGATGTGCTTTTCATGTAGATCTGTAGACCCTACTTCATACGTAATACAAAACTTTAGGTTGGAGCAAGTATGCAGTTTTGTTGACTTGGGAGTAACTATGGACCCCAAACTCAATTTTAATCTTCACACATCTTCCATGGTTTTTAAAGCTAAAGGTGCTCTTGGTTTTGTTAAACGTTGGTCTAAAGAATTTAGAGATCCGCTTACCATAAAAATTTTTTTTACATCTTTGGTGAGGCATATATTAGAGTATGCTTCCGTGGTATGGAACCCTTGTTATCAAGTTTATTCTGAGAAAATATAGTCCTTTCAAAAACAATTTTTACTTTTTGCCTTAAATCATTTGCATTGGGATTCCCATTTAAATCTTCCCCCTTACACTAACCGTTTA